GTGTTCAGATTGGGGATTTAGAATTTACAAGGTGGGGATATCCCTTGTATTTAATGACATTGGGAAACAAAGGAATGTTGATCAACTCGGGATACCAGGACCACCCAGTAAAAGCTTCGCAACAAGAGGTAGCCTCAGCCATGGTAAGAAAGAGATGGCATCTTGAACAGGTAATTATCAACGAACATAGAGGTCAGTGGCGAAGGCCGTCCACGCGCCCCGTATGAAAAAAAAAAAAAAGAATCGAGAAGAATCTCCCTCTGGAAACTGAGACAATAGGATATGGGTTCATAAAGATAAGGTTTCTAGTCATATCGTCCGTTCAATCGTCGCATGCCTCAAGAAAACCGCTGTGTGATCGGACTGTTGAAACGGGTGCTGGGAAACCATCGTCCTCGTTCACTACCGGGATTATGGAGAGCCAGCAGGGAGCTATGGTGCCTTTTGGTCATGAACCTAATGGCGGAGCCTTTTGCAATGGAAAGTACGCTGCGGGTCTATAATCAAGATACATTGTCTGTAGAGCAGGATCGAATGTGGTGAATTGGACTATAATGACATGATAAGGCTCTGACATTGTTTTAATATAACGTACACAACTATCTGTATTAAAAAATAACAATAATTATTTCGAGCCATGTAAAACTGGGATATTATGTTCAGAACTTTCAGCTTTTTCCATAAAACCAATCTCATAGATACACAACCATCATTATACAAATTATTATTAAATACACACAACTTAATATCAGTTTGTTTGTTCAATAACCTAAGTTATTTTTCCACTGCAATTATAACGAGTACATTGACGCGGTACTACGCATGGCTTTCTAAACTACTTCCCTATAAATATATCCCTAAATAACGCATGGCTTCCTAAACTACTTCCCTATAAATATATCCCTAAATAAGTAAATCCCTCTAGCTGCGTACATTGGCACTTTTATCAAATCTAGTATCAGATCATGTGCAGAATCAAATCAAAATATATATTATAACATTGATGTGTGAGATTGAAAAAAAAACGTTTTTTATTGCTTTGAGTTATGTGCTGTTTCAAGGAAGATTCCTAGTTATATATTTAGGGATGTATTTATAGGGAAGTAGTTTAGGAAGCCATGCGTGAAAGTTATATTCAAATAATATTTCATTTAAGTCCAATTTTATTTCTTTTTTCTCATGTAATATATATTCATTTCCTGTAACAGTTTCAGTGTTAAATTCCAGTGTCGACAATCGTCATTCGTATTGCTTGTTTGTGATGTTAAGAAAATGTTTATCTGTACAGTTCAACAAGTTTTGTTCGTTGCCCCAACACTAGCGACAAATCATTACACCCTTCGTTTCGCAAATAAGATATTCAATCCTCTTATTATTGGGGTGTTTGAGTAACTGTGTGTTCTTTATATTCTGAATCCTGTAATAGCACACGAGATTGAAAAATTATTATTTGTTATTTAGCAACTTATACCATCACGTTATGTAGTTTTTCCAGGAAAGGGGGCCGAAGGCCGTCTTGGGGGGGTCACCTGTTTTAACCACTCTCACCACTATACAGTAGTGTTTTGTCTGTCAGTCAGTAGACACTAAAATGACGTCACATAAGGGACACTTTGTGTTGCAGTTTGAACTCGTGACGTCAGTAAAACGCGCGCATCCCATGAATTATCAGAAGAATTATGCACTCTGTAGGCTACAACACAGCATGACATACGAGCTTCAAAAGCAAGAAATAAAAATATTTGTTACTCTTAATTTTGGTTTTATTTACTCTTGAAACAGAACACTTTCCGGGAACTTGGGGAAGTACATCTATTAATATAGTTGAACTCAAAAGGAAAGTGTACAGCTAGCAACAAATATCATTTTACACAGTAGAACTTACAAGGTTACAAAAAGCACTCTCAAGGAAGCCTTACAAGAAACGATTATCTTCGAATTTACCAGAAACGATGCTCACGATTCTTAATCTCTGTAGCTGACCATTGGATTCTAGGAATCCGAACATGTTTCTATCCTATTTAACTGTGGTAAATAGTCTCATATGAAAATAATGTCGGTTGCTAATACAATGACACACCAGACATTCTTGATGGACTCCTGCCAGAGAGAGTAACATATAGGAGTACTTTATCTCATAACGTAGATCTTCTTGGTTGTGAACTAGGAAGTAGTCAATTCCAAATATTGTTAAATGAATAACAAAAATATGGGAGTATAAGTTATATGATAATCACTTACAATTCTCAAACTGTAATTATGACAAATAAGTTAGCGTATTGTTTGATGGTTTGCTCAATAAAAAACAGTTTTATATGTATTTAACTTTTATTTACAGTCTAGTTGGAAGTGTCCGAGTTTCTAACCACCAGTTTGGTTAGAAGTGTCCGAGTTTCTAACCGACAGTTTGGTTGTAAGTGTCCAAGTTTCTAACCGTCATTTTGGATGGAAGTATCTAACCGTCAGTCTGGTTAAAAGTGTCCGAGTTTCTAACCACCAGTCTGGTTAGAAGTGTCCGAGTTTCTCACCACCAGTCTGGTTAGAAGTGTCCAAGTTTCTAACCACCAGACGGGTTGGAAGCGTCCAAGTTCCTAACCGTTCTGTGATGTTTAAAATGTCCCGAAGTCATGAAAAGTTTATACCCATAAATAATAGCCCAATGCTACTGCCAAATCTTGACCTTACAAGCCAAGTAAGTGTGAAAAGTAAGGATAAATTCGAGTAGTTTAATTAGTTATAACATCTGCTCGATAGGTGGATTCGATATTTTAGTATATGTGTGTGTGAAAATGCTAACGCTGACTTATACACAAAATATATTTTACTTTGATTGTTTCTATCTTTTTCATTTTCTGCTCTTACCTGGTATTTGCCCGTTACAAGCACAATGGGCGTCCCGTGATCCTCCACTTGAACAGAAGGAACAACAGTGATATAGACCAGTGTGCCTTTTCCCAGGCGGATATACAATCAGCGGAAACGGACTTCCCTAGGAAGAATAAGGAATATATCTGTACTCACCGTAGCGAATGGGTTTAATGGGAATGATCGAATTTTTTTTATCTGCTCTATCCATGGTTCGATTTATTAAATGTATTTGTTCTGGTTTGTTTTGCATTTTTTAAACGAAATATATACTTAAGTAAAAAACATGTTTTAGTTGTTAACGTATTTGACTGCTGTTACCTGGATTTATCCAATTATCGTTGTTTATTGTTATAAAACATTTATACTATGGTCGGGGCCCGGCATGGCCAGGTGGTTAGGGTGCTCGACTCGCAGTCTGCGGGTCACGGGTTCGAATCTCTGTCACACCAAACATGTTCGCCCTATCAGCCGTGGGGGCGTTATAAC